GTTGATAACCAAGGGGCAATTGCACTAAGTAAGAACCCAGTTAACAGACAACGTTCTAAGCATATTGACATAAAGTACCACTTTGTACGTGAAATGTATGTTAAAGGCATAATCGATATTGTATATTGTCCTACCCAAGATATGGTAGCTGATATCCTAACAAAGCCACCCACAAAATGTAAACTAGATAATTTTAAAAGTATCGTATTCGGTTGTGGTAATTAGTTTATATTCTGATAACAAGTGAGTTCAATATAAAACTATGAGTGTTGAGTTCAATATAAAACTATATGTTATCCAAATATTAGTATGACGTAATACTGAGAGACAAATGCATGATGGGATTGTTGTGTTGTTAGTTGAACTTCCTCGTGAAAGCAACTTACTGTACAAAACTACATTTGTAATAAACGTGAAAATAAAGAGTGATTTCATTACAAATACGGTGTTCTAAAGTCATGGCTTCAACAGACCGGTCGATAGTAGTATATACGGAGCCGGTTCTAGCACATTTTTAAATTGCCTCTACAAGAGCAAAAACAACGTCCAGATTAACTATTCGTTTTATGTAAATCAAGATGTAGAGGTAATCCTATTAGCACAAAGAGCATTATTAAGGCCAACTAAGATAACGTCTTTAACTTCACTTTTTACTCTCGTACAACCTCTACACTAACTAAAAAGCATGCTGTAGAGTTAATCCTATTGGCACAGAAAAAGGTAATAGTTTTAATTCCAACTTTTACACCAAAAATTGTTAAAAAGTGTGCTAATTGAAATGTAACAATATACCCCTCGTACAACCTCTACACTAACTAAAAAGCATGCTGTAGAGACAATCCTATTAGCACAGAAAAAGGTAATATTAATAATCATAAAATAGACATAAAAATTTTTACATATATTATATAGAGGAATGTTAAACCTGTGTTATAGTATAGAGAAAGATAAAATGGAGATTACCCAAGACAAGATCATCACTCGACTCATAAGTTTCACGTCAGCAGCATATAAGTATATCAAGGATAAAGACAATCAAAAGTTCATAGCTAAAAAATTCTTCGAGGTTCTAAACAAAGTAGCGTCTAACGGAAAAACTCTTCCTGACAATCAGAACACCAACTTGTTTTTTATAAGAGAGCTGTCAAGCAAATATTTTATTGAGACCAAAAATCTAGCTAAGTTTAATGATTTTCAATTAGAAAAGTTACTTGTTGAAGTAGGTGAAAAACCGGCAGGGAAAAAGCTCTCATCCACAAGACCAACGAGAAAAGCACCCGGCATACCAGAAGGCGTATCTCCAGCAAGGAGGGAAAGGAAAATACCACTGGACATCAACTTTTCACTCCCAGTTACAAAACTAAAACAAGAACGTTCAATTCCCAAACCAAGCTACAAGGTTCCAATTTCTAAACTAGGATTAAGTACAATTCCTAAACCAGAACCAGAACGTTCAATTCCTGAACTAAAAAGACCAACTTATGTTAAAGTCTCTCATTCATTCTCAAATCTTATTAAGAAGTACAAGATACAAGTTGTAAGTAACGATCCACAAATTCAACTGACAAGATCAATTCCGTCACTTAAGTTAATATTTGAAAAGAATATTGAAGTTATGCGGGGAATTAAATATCATATTAACCTTTTAGTTAGATACATCATGTACAAAGGTAGTGGAGATATTGACGAGGCTACATACAACGCAAATCATTTTGCACAAGTAATCACCAACATAAATCAGCTAGACGAGTCCCTAGATAAAAGTATAAGCTTAGTTCTTGAACGAGTGTCTAACTTCATAGCAAGAGGTAGTGGGTGGCAAGTAAAGAACATTGAGAAGATGGACATAATTTTAAATACATACTCTCCCCTTGAAGGATCATCATACATTGACCTACCAAAAGAACTTTAACAACCAAAGCTGGGGTTAAGAAGTATTTTTAATCCAAAGGACAACTTCTGTTTTAGGTGGTCTCATGTAAGACATGTAAATAAAAGGATGAAGAACCCAAACAGGATAACTAAAGAGGATAGACAAATTGCAGAAACTCTTGATTACAGTGGAATTACCTTTCCAGTGACCACAGATCAAATTCCAAAAATTGAACGTCAAAACAACATTAACATTCATGTAATAGGTTATATTGGAAAGACGAAGTTCTATCCAATAGTAATCTCGACAGAGGTGTACAATGACACAATGACACTTCTCCTACTTACTGGAGATAATAATGAGAATCACTATGTTCTCGTAACAGATCTAAATAAACTTCTCCATTCATATACAAAAGATAATCACAGAAAACATTTTTGTATAAATTGCTTTCAGAACTTCAGGTCACAGAAATTCTTAGATAGACATTGAAAAGAGTGCATGATACTTAACGGTAAACAAGCAATTAGAATGCCAGAACCAGGTGCTAGAGTTGAGTTTAAGAACTACATGAATACTCTATTTGCCCCATTTGTGATATACGGAGATTTAGAATGTATACTTGTTCCTACAGAAGTAAAAGCAGGAAAGAACACAAGAATTATACAAAAGCATAAAGTTATCAAGTACGGTTACAAGAGGATATGCAGGGAAAACTCATTCTTAACAGGTGAGTATCAAACGTACACAGGTGAAGATGCAATTTCCAAACTACTTACAAACCTAAAGAAAGAACAAAAAGATTGTAATAAACTTGCAAGACAATTTTTTAATAAGAATGGCGAGATGGAAGATGAAGATATACTTCACTATAGAGAACAAACAAATTGTTACATATGTCATAAACTAATAGGCATAAAAGACAAGTCTCCTTACTTTCATAGGATAAATCTTAACTACCTTGGAGCAGCTCATGAGAAATGTAAATTTAAGAGTTTCAAGATTCCAATAGTGTTTCACAATCTAAGAGGATACGACAGTCATCCAATTATAATTGAAGCTTGTAATCAAAAGATAGAGCCCAATGTAATTGCAACTAATCTTCAGAAGTACCTGTCATTCTCATTTGGACAACAACTAATTTTCATTGACTCGTTTCAGTTTATGTCAACATCTCTAGAAAAACTTGTGAGTAATCTCAAAGGCAAAACATCAATCGATGAACTTCATACTAAGTTTCCAATTACAGTTAAAAGGTTTAGTGGAGAGGCACTCTATCTTGTAACTCAAAAAGGTGTATTTCCTTATGACTACTTTGATTCACCGCAAAAACTAGATGAAACTTCACTCCCACCTAAAGAAGCATTTTACTCTACTCTATACAAGTCGCACATTTCAGATAATGATTACCAGAGAGCCTTGAAAGTATGGGATCACTTTAAGATGAAGACGTTCAGAGACTACCTCGATTTATATCAAGAAACGGATGTACTACTATTAGCAGATACATTTGAAAACTTTAGGTCAACGTCTCACAACACCTACGGACTTGATCCCGCAAATTATATATCTAATCCATCACTTACCTGGGATGCAATGTTAAAAGATAGAGATGAGAAAGGATGGGTTAGGTCTTGAATTAATAAGTGATGTTGAAATGTATCAGTTCTTCGAAAAAGGAACACGTGGTGGTGTCTCACAGATTTCTCACAAATATGGAAAGTCTAATAACAAGTTCACGAAAGACTATAATCCAGAAGAGGAAAGTACATTCATAAAGGACTGGGATATGAACAATCTATACGGCTGGTGTATGTCACAGTATCTTCCCTCAGGAAACTTCAAGTGGGAAGAGGATTTAGAAAGTCTAAACTACAAGGACTTCTTAGGTGATTCCCCAAGAGGCCTAGTTCTTGAGGTAGACTTAGAGTACCCGAGTGAACTTCATAATTTACATAAGGACTACCCACTTGCCCCACACAAGATGAAGGTAAGCGAGGACATGATATCTCCGTATAACAAGAAGATAAGAGACAAGTTAGGTTTGTCGACGTCTGAAGTTGAGAAGTTACTTACAACACTTTATGACAAGAAGGAGTATGTACTTCATGTAAGAAATCTTGATTACTATCTTTCTCTTGGAATGAAACTTACAAAGATTCACAGAGCAATATCATTTGACCAATGAGCTTGGCTTGGAGATTACATTAACAAGAACACAAAACTAAGAGCTAAGGCTACCAACACTTTTGAGAAGGATTTCTTTAAACTTATGAATAACGCAGTATATGGTAAAACGATGGAAAACCTTAGAAAGCGCACACATGTTAAAATTGCAACTTCAGGAGATAGAGCAAGAAAACTTATTAACAGACCATCTTTCAAAGCAACCAGGCAATTATCAGATAATGCCACAGTGGTAGAGCAAACTAAGGAAGTTCTTTTTCTCAACAAACCTTCATACATTGGAATGGTAATCTTAGATCTCGCAAAACTAGCAATGTACAAGTTTCATTATGGTATTATCAAACCCTTCTACGATGAAAGAGCAAAACTAATCCTAACTCACACTGACTCTCTTGTATATCAAATAAGCACTGAGAACATTGAGGAAGACTGCAAGATTATTGGTAAAACTCACGACTGCTGGGATAACTCAAATTACAGTCCCGACTCACCCTACTACTCAAATAAAAATGAGAAGGTTATTGGAAAGATGAAAGATGAGAAAGGTGGTAAACTGATAAGTGAAATTGTTGCTCTAAAGCCAAAACTCTATTCCATAAAAGAATACTCGGGTAAAGAAGAAACCAGGGCAAAAGGTGTAGTCAAATCTGTAAAGCTGAACGAACTATGTCATGAAAACTACAAGGACTGTCTGTTCAACGAGAAGACAATGAGGCACACTCAGTACACAATACAAAGTGTCAATCACAGACTTCAGACAAGAGAACAGTCTAAGATGACACTGTCACCGTACGACTCAAAGAGGTTCATTTTACAAGATGGAGTCACCAGTCTACCCTACGGGTACAACGGACCTCGAGTAGATTAAATAAAGAATTAATTCAAAATTAAATAAAGAATTAATTCAAAATTAAATAAAGAATTAATTCAAAATTAAATACCCCAAGGAACATATACAGTATAGAGAAAATGGCTGAGTCAGCAAAAATATTCCGAGCTACAACAATCACTGTCAATGAAAAATATATCTCTCAGTTCGAGGAAGGTGTCTGTATAGAAGACTCATGTTATATCCACAAGATTATAAGAAAACGCAAGAATGTTCTTGATGTAATTCTATGTGAGCCACAGGCAGGAGATGTTATTGCAGGACGCGTTGCTGAAACAACCAAATATCTTACTCACCTTGAACTTGGACCAGTACTACTTATTGTTCCTCACAAGCAACAAGAGCAACCTATAAAGATTGATGACGTAAAGAAGGTCCTAATGCTAAAAGTATTCTTTGAATATCCAGAACCCATCATTAGAGTATATGGAAGGTTTATTGATTAAGGCCGAAAGGCTGCACACCTCTCAAGTTTATTTTCTATATCAAGGGCATCCAACCACTGTTTATCCTGAATCTTCAAATCTAACCACTTAGAGTAGTACTGACACCAGAACGGCTCATACCTAAGTAAGGGGTAAGCCTTGCCAAATAAACTGCCCTCACACTGTGAGATTACATAAAAAGTCTTACCATCAGGTGCTTCAGTAGGTATTTTGAGTAAGCTACAAACTCTAACCAGAATTACCTTCATAAGTGGCATCTTCACTTTCATTTCCTTGAGAACATCAATCACGTCAAGCATAGTTGCAAGAATATTTTCTGCGTCAACCCCAACATGATACTTTCTCACAAGACTACAAGCTTCATGCTTTCTCCACGACATTTTATATAATACCTATGGTTTTCCACATTTTATAAATCCCTTCTTATCTGTTTCTTTGAAACCTAACCAGTACCTCTCATACCAGTCTTCCCAAAATATAAATCTAGGTCTAATCTCAGAACCTTCCCCACAATCTTTACTTAACTCTCTCACAACCTTCACCCATCTCCTGTAGTAAATGCAGTCATTTACATACCACCCAAAGTGAGGCACTAAGATTCCATAAAACATAAACTCATGTGCTTCACATCTGGGAGAAGGATAGACATCTCTCAAGTTCTCTTTTGGTTTTATACCCAACATACTACAGATCCTAACAACCAGGAATCTAAGTCCAGGTCCCATACTCACTTTCTCATCCCTAAACCACTGTTTTACTTTCCTCACATGTTCCGCTACAATGTTTACGGAAGCCTTCTCGACATACTGCTTCACGGACATTCTAAGTGAGTACTTGCAAGCCTTAGACAACTCCTTCTTGCAAACTCCAAACTTGCCACTATCAATCACAAGTTCCCTCTTTCCAAGCAACACCTTTCTTTTATAGAATACAGACTTACCATCTTCACTTAACGTGTGAGAATACATGTTTTCCCTATATAATATACCTTACCTAATGTTTCAGGGCACAACAAGTTTAAATTAAAATGTCCAAAGATGAGATATTTACCGCAGCAAGTTTATACTTTCACCGCAACATAAAACTTCGAGTTTTACACAAGATGTTACTAGTTATATAACAAGACCGCATAAGTTACTACCCTCACCGCAAGAAAGATTCAAGTTATCTCAACAGATACTCGCAGCTCACCTTGCAAGCAAACCTGAGACAGCTCACCAGTAGACTCAGGCCACCTCGCCAGTAGATTTAAGTAAACCATAGATAACCTTGTAAGCATATTTAAGATGCTCACAGATGACCTTGCAAGCATCTTCAAGTTATCTTGCCAGTAACTTTAAGATGCCTCCCCAGTAGATTTAAGTATGTATTTCTCGCGCGCGAGAAATAAATTAAATAAAAAATAAATTAAATAAAAATAAATAAAAAATAAATTAAATAAAAAAATAAATTAAATAAAAATAAATTAAACCCCCAACCTCCAACAAGATGGATTTGTGGTGGTCACCAAGTAGGTTAATAATCAAACTTTCCCACTCTCAATGATTCTAATAGTTGTAGCTTCTTACTGTGTGAGTGCTGCATGATACATAAATATGCTGTTGTGAAGTCGATCTGAGGATTTGCCGTGTTGGTTTAAAAATCCTAACCTATTCTCTGTGTAAGCCTACTAAGGATGTCCTCGAGGCTACCCTTAGCAATCCAGTGTGCCACTATTTTTATGCTTTGTGGAGCCTGTGTGGTGGTAAATTTATGTGTCGCAGAGGTAATCCAAGCAATTTGCCGAGTGAGCTTACCAAGTATGCAGTCCTCCATTTTTACAAGAGGGTCAACTAGCCCCTCTTACGGGAGCTGATTCTAGTAAATTTAAAGTGGGACCTACCACTGGTCCCACTCCAGTCTGGCTTTCTGTACCTCTGGTTTACTATATGGAAGAAATAAATTTAATACTTGCGCTAGTTGGACTAGGGCTTATCTGGATGTACATGAGCAAGTCTACTAGTGAGGAGGAAAAGGTGTTTTGGAGAAATAGGAGAAAAGTTTGGGGAGCTCCATATCTTCAAGAATATGATGTAAACAAAGATGGCTCAGTTAATGTTGGAGATGTTGTGAGAGAGCGTGATGA